TATATTGAAGATGAGATTGGTAAAATACAGTCAAACTGACTGTGCCCTTTACGGTTGTTATGGAAACCAGGATAAACAACAGCGATATTTGATTTCTTGTGATATGTCTAAAAATCACCCTTTTTGTATGCACTGGCCCAATTTTTATATATTTATAGATTCATAGCCCCTTTAAAGAAGTACAGAACGTTTTTATGATATCTTTCCTTTTCTACTTAATTTTAAAATCTTAGCATCTATTTTTAGACAATTTTTGTGGCTTTCCGACTGCTGCAAAAAAAAAACTAAATCTTACTTTCACAAACATTTTTGCATTTGTGTAAATAATAAAATGTTAAATAATTATACAAAGTTTCATTATAATTGGACAAGCTGTTTTTGAGAAAATATATTGCAAGCCCAAATACTACCAAAATGAGAAAACAGAGGAAAAGGAATTTTTTTATGTATTATTACACTAACAATATTATTTTCACGCTTTAACAAGTAATTTTACACAGAAATAAATAGTTTCTGATATTACAAGACCATTAGAATAATCCTGCCTCTTCAGTTTGGCAGCTCGTACACTGTCGTGTCTCCTAGTTTGCTTGTCCTTCTTATACTTAAACTATTTCTCTCTTCTGCATCCTAGAAGCTACTAGTCTCTTCATATGCAGGCCTATAGAAAATCCAAAAACTGAGCAGTGTCTTGAGAAGCAACAGCACCAAAGTTGAACTCTCTTGCTGCAGTTGCAACTGCAAAATGAACCTGCCTGCTTGAGGCAAACATGTTTTTAGTACAGCCAGCCCATTTGAGTTTTTCCTGAAACACATCTACCAAGCAGTTTAGGGTCAGACAGCCTTTCATAAATTGGCAAAAGATATTTCTATAACTTGCCATAGATTAGCCATGTGTGTAACATCTTGTCATGATGACCCGGGAACTGACACTTAGCCAGGGCAAACTTAAAAAAAAACCACCAAGACTGCTCTCCACTTTAGCACATTCTATCGCGTGGAGTTTTGTCTGTTGAAAAACAGTGGTGAAGCCATAACACTGTCCCTCATGGACTTTACACTTGTGTTGTCCCTTATCGCTCTGTTGTAATAAACTGTCAGCTTTCAGATGGCATTTTGTGTGAGCTGAGAATTACCAGTATCCACCTAGGGTCACTCCTTGCTTTCGACAGTCATCAACAACATTATGGAGTGCTGTTCCAAGGTGTTTACTGACATGGTTTATACATTCATCTTTATCTATGTGAATGTCCTCCCCATAAGGTTTGTTCTTAGTAAGCTCCTTAAATGTTTTGGCATCACCATCAGAAAGTACTGATGTATAGTGAAGCTTATGATGGGCCAGAGACCACTGCCACAACACTCGTGCAGCCTCCACCTCCATCATTCCAGCAGATCCTGTAAAATTATTTTCAAATTTATTTAAAAATTTTTATTAGTGGATGGTCTGCCTTCCATGCTTCAAATTCAGCTGGTTTAGATTTGGAAACTCACTTACCAGTGGTTTCACACACCTGACAATATATGGACAAAATATGCACATCTATGCAAAGTCCTGTAAGGACAAACGCTGTACCGCCAACCCCAATGGAGGATATGTGGACACTTAGGGGAAAGGCAAGATGGACGACCGGTATCATTAGTATTGGAACTCTGCCCTGACTGCTGAAGATGAGGACAGAGCATGCATGGCAATGCCCCAAATGCTGTGATGTCAATTCTTGACTCAACTCAACTCTTGCTGTCAGTTTTCAGAAAAAGACCAGTATTTTTTACGTAGTGGACGTTTTGATGATTTTGTCAATTTAGGAGAAGTCAGCTACTCCTCCTGTTTTTTTAATGTCCAATAATATCAGCAGAATCATGCATGCTGCTAGAGAAGGACATATATTCATACATATCTCTCTAAAACTGGTTTCGGGTTTTTTCTGCAAGAACAGTGTCACTTCCATAACTTTGAGAATTAGAACATGATGGCACAGAAACACTGACTGCTAAAATTCCAACAACGTTAGGAGCAAGCATATTAGGAAACTTCGTGATTTCTTATGTTGATCGGCTAAGTGGAGTTGAAATTTATTGGAACACAGCATTTTTCGATCAACAGCAGTCTTGCTGTTGCTTTGTAAACAATCGATCACAGCGGCCATCTTAGACAATCGGATACCCAAATGATCAGTTTCAGCCAGCAGGAATTGCCCATAGAAAATGAGGTTATGTTTACACCCATATATGGAAGTTTCCAGGCTTTTATACAGCTCAGTGAATCAATTCTGAATGGAAAAGTTAAAATTCCACTATCATGATTCCTGCTGAACAATGCAGGGGACATAATTATGCTTAGAACGGTACATAATACATAGTTATCTCTTTGTGGAAATGAAGCTGTCGTGGTGCGAAAATCACCAGTTTAGTAACAAATTTCAATAAACAAATAATTTCACAGCTAGGGTTAGCTCAGTAAAATATTAATATTGCATTAAAATAATATATTTTAGAGAAAAACAAATAATGAATCCAACAGAAGATGTACTAAGGCGTGTAAAAATGAACTTTTCCAAAAACTGTCGACCTGACCCAAATGTACTGTTTTGCCCGCACATGGCCTCAAATTTATCATCAGCTTCTATTTGGAAGTTTCTATAAATATTGAATCATCCTTTCCTATAGTTCATTTACTTGTTGCTTTTTAAAAATAATTATAAATCTTACCTTCCTTCTTTCCAGAAAATTAAGAGCTGTGGAGATGTTGGCAAGATGATGTGGTCTACGTAGTTTGGCACCCTTTTCCATTGGCTACAAAATGCATCAAAATATTCTCAGCATAAATTAGCTGTTTCACCAACAAAAATAAATTTGCCACTTATAAAAACAGCTCACAACTGAAATGAAAAGTTCATGTTTTTATGTATTTGTGTGTGCATGCATGTGTGCATGCTTATGTTACGAGACAACTGTTACAAAACACAGATTACCTATACAGACATTATAAATGTGCATTATTCAAAATACATTCTGTTTTAATCAGTACACTTATTTGTATATTCCACTAACTTTGTACCCTCCTGGAAAACACTGCTAGATGTTGCTGAGCTTCCTTGTCATGCAGACTAAATATGTTCCACTGTTTAAAATGCAGCCCTTTTAAGGGAAGTTTTAACTTGGGGATGAGAAAGCAGTTGGGAATTGCAAGATCTGGAAAGTAAGGTGGGCGGGGAAGAACAGGAAAGTTCATATTCACCAAATACTTTTTTAAAATTACAGTACTGTGAGAAATGCATTATTATTTTACAGTTCCTAATCAGTGTGATCACTTCCACGGTACTTTTAATGGCTTGACAAACAACATTTAACTGCCACTCTCCACTCCTCCATGATGCCAATAACGAGGCAAAAATGTTCACTTTGCAAAACAGTTCATACAAGTTCATTTTCAGATGACCAAGCAGAAATGTTTGAAGCCTGGTCACCTCTTAGGTGAAGCATAGTAGTGTTACCACTATATATATAACCCACAATACTCTTTCTAAAACAGCTTGACTCAAAACTTGTTTGGTCGCATCTCATGTGAATGTATATACCTTCAATATGTGTGCATCTGTGAATGTGTGTGCATGTGCACACAATAAGATACAATGAGAAAAACAATTTCAACTCTGATCTTGGGGTAGTGGATCACACTCACAAATTAAAAATGAAGATCAACAGGAGAAAATTGTTAATAACATCATATCTCACACTGTGAGAAAAAGAGAGCTATCCAGACAATCAGAAAGGTGCAGAAACAATCCAAAGATTGACACACTCTTGATTGCCAGGCAGAGATCCCAACTATTAATTTCAGAAAGGGGTGCAACAAACTGAGTATACACATGCATAGCTTTGTCTATTTTTCCAGTTCTGATTCCAGGGCCTCGCTGTGTTGGGACTCGCGGTTTTGCGACTAGACACCCGCCTGCAGATCGGAGGGTCGTGTGTTCGGATCCTGAAGGAGCCGGACATTTTTAATGGCCTTGAAATCCCATGCTGTCATTGTGGAAAACTTTTCTTGACACGGGCGAGTCTTGCTAGTCACACTCGCCATGGGCTGTGAGTCTCATGCCTCCTCATGGCGCAATATAACACTATCGTCTGGAAAGACGGAAAAGGTGCCAATGATGATGATTCCACGGCCTCATTCTCGGGATGGAAGGGGGGGGGGGAAGAGGAGAGGGCGGGAGGGGAGAATAGACCCACTGCCTCCATAACAAGCATGTTGTAAAAAGCAACCAATTAGAATTTTACTGAAACAGGATGTGTTGAGCCAAAAGGCGTAAATATTGCAGCACAGCTATTAACCATAGGGAGTGGCTGTGACGCTAGCACTTAGACACTTGCGTGCAGATCGGAAGGTTTGCTCCCTGGGAGAGCCAGACTTAAAAAAAAAAAAAGACCTTGACTCCCACATCGACCCATCCTTGAGTGGGTACCGGGTGCAGTCCCGGAAAGTAAAGGCAGCAGGTGTGATGCTGACCACATCACCCATCTTGTGCCGTTGGTCTATAAAAAAAATATGTCTAGCCCTATATACCCTATATGCCTAAGGGCATGAAAAAGGGACCTTAACTTTTGATAAACCACAACACAGCATGCCAGTCAGCCATTTAAGGTTGAAAATATTCAATACAAACTATAAAAAAGTCAGTAAGTTTCATCGCTAAGTATGTGAACTAAGCAAACTGCTGAACATATTTTCAGGTTTATCATGTGCATACTGAGTTAAGAAAGACGCACTGTTTAGGAAACTTAAAAGAAACTTATTTTTTTTTAAACTGTTGGGTTAATCACCAAATCTCACCTGACAGTATAATCATCATAAATGCAACTGTAAGCACAAGAAGAAGAAAATAGGGAACAGTCTGAGATACAAATTGATTAGACAGTATGAGGCAACAGCCATAAAAATTTTATGAGTAAAGCATTAAAGAGTAAATAAATAAATAAAAAAGAATTACACTCACAAGTTTTTCTCCTGAAAGAACTTCCAACAGTGATAAAAGCACTGTCCCATCTTTCACATCTTCAAAGAGATTCTCAACTTTGACTGGGGGGTGTCTCTGTAAAGATTATGATGATCTTGATAGCAATGATGATTGTGGTGGTGGTGGTGCAAATGATGGTGGCACTGAGGGTAATGGTGAGAAGGATGGAGAAGGAGGTGGTAATAATGGTGAAATTATACTTTAGATGCATATACCAACAAGGCATGCAATCACATCAAGAAGATGGGTTTAACTGCATGTTGAACATCTGTCAGCACAAACACTGCAAATAACAAAGTATAAAAGTGTGCACTCAGAGCTAACACAGGAATAATGAAGTCCACTTCAAACTGTATGTTGGTTGTGTATCCTTTACAGGACGTTGCAGAACCAACCCTAACAGCCCCTGGCTGTTGTGTGGTTTTTCTAGGCAAATTTACGTCCAGTAGTTTGCCATTGCTTACTGGACGGTCGGCTTTCTTGATACCACTGTTGAAACCAACGCAAGGCGCATGGCCTGCAGCTGGGATCGAACCCGGCATCCCAGCATTACGAAGCGTTCGCATCGACTTAGCCACAGAGCCGACTACTTCAAACTGTAGAGCTGGATAAAACTGGGAAAGTGAAAATACTAAACTACAAATGGAATACTAAAGTGATAATTCAAGAAGAGATAAGTCTCTCCTCTTGACTGGAGTCTGAGGTTCTCACCACTTTGTCACACATCTCTTCCTCCATTCCATTCTATCCTGCGCAATCACTTCAAAATCATGAGCACAGTATGATCCAATTATAATCCTGAGGGTTCAACTGGATTTTGTTTATGTGAAAATTATTACTTGTATTATTTCTAAAAACACTGTATTCAACTAACATGAATCTGTGATGGAATTAGAATTCCCATTCTTCTGTTGCCTCCACATAATGTTTCATTAACTGGCAAACTGCTAATGATTCATTTTTATATACAGTATAAGGACTGGAACTATACAGCCTTAAAAACCCTCTTCCTCACCTCAACTGACAAAGAAAGATTGCACAGAAAATTCTTCACCTCACACTGTGAAATGCTGCCTTTGCCAGAGCATTTCTACATTGAATTTTTTTTAATACATTCTTTTTCAGAAATCAAAAATAGTTGTAATACAATGGATCCCATCCTATTGCAACATACCTGGAAATGAAGAGGCTGTGCAAATGGCAAAGAAAGGTGGAATGGAAGACTACCCCTGCCTGGTATAGACATAACATATGATGAGGCTAAGAGGTTTATAAGAAGTACTTAATATTACCAAGTTAGATTCTGTACATCTAGGCCACAAGAAGGATGGTGCATACTACCAGCTTGACCAAGGAGAAGAATTAGTGATCTTTAGACTGCACAGGACAAAATAGGCTGAAAAATGACTTGTTCAATAAGTTTAAGATTGAACACAATGATGATTTTAACTGTAGAAATGGAAAAATGACTGCTACAACACTTGCTTCAAGCGTGCCCAACACGCAGAACACAGAAAATTATTCTGGCTCACACCTGCTCCTTCTGGGCACAAACGATGAAGTGGGCAAACAAATTAATCTGACCCATCTGTCTGTATACTGCCACACTGAATGCCCCTAGGCATCTCTGTGGGTAATGTCATATAAAACTAGAGTGGACACAGAAGTCTACTGCAAAAAAAAATATCTAACATGCATAAGAAGCAAAGCACTCATTTTGTGTAGGTAATCAAAATTCCAGGTTTGCAGGCTGCCTCCTGCTGGCTTCTAAACACATAGCCAGTGACGAATGAGAAGCTCAGTATAAGGGAGCAGGACATGGTGAGTTCTTGAGTGAGTCTAGCACTAGAGCACCATGTATTGGCTCTGAATTCATGGAAGCCTCCTTGGATGACAGGAAATGCTCATGTTCTGCCCCTACCTTTTCTTGATGGCTGACCAGCATCATGTGGCTGCTACTGACTGGCCTGATGGTGGAAACCACCTAGGAACTAGGAAACGAAGATTACTAAACAAAAATGAGACTGTAATATCCCATGCAACTAGCTGGGAAATTTAGCCTGCAGAAGTCAGATGTGTCAGTTGAAAGGAGCATATTTTACAGCCATGCTGTAGATACACAAAACAAATTTGCATCTTCTGATAATGCAGAAGAAGAAGATACATTCTTACATCTGCTGTTGTCAGGGTACCCAAGTACTTAAACATATCAGCTTGGGGTTTATGTGGTTAAAGACTCAACATAACATCCTTCAGGACAAGCCCACATTAGCTCCGTCTCCCTACTCAACAGCCAGCAAAGAGTCTCAATACTGATGGCACCCATTGTCATCTGGTTAACTATTTGTCTTGCATTTCCCCTGATTCGCGAGTGCAATCAAAGTTTGTAGACACTCCTACTGCATTGTTCTCTCCAGATACAGGTTTCAATTGCTTTCCATTTTACTAGTTATCTCATCTCATGTGATCACGTCTTCCTTGTGCATTTGCAATGGCCCCTAACAAATGGCCCCATGGTCAACCTATCCCCAGGCTCATTCCCAAACACACTTACATGGCCCGTGCAAAATATCCATCTGATTCTAATCACCTGCGACTTTCATCCCCTGTGACCCTCATCACATGATTCCAACTTTCTGAGCATGTTTAGTAAATTCGATACAATGACGTGTGGCTGAGATTTTTTTCCACTTTCTCCACCCATCACAACACAGCAGTTACTGCTTCAATCTCAATTATCATGCTGATTGTCATAATGGTGTATGCCAAGCTCTCCTCATTTTTTAAGTATTGACTTGAATTCCCATTAATAAAAATAAATTGCTTAGTAGCAATTTAGTTAGTTTTGATACAAATGTTACTTACCTGACATAAATATGTATTCATCCAATTTGTAAATGTTTTCTTCTGCACTCGCTCTTGTTCATCTATAAATTATGGAAAGTGAACATTTTAACTATTGATCCTCTAAACACATTATTGAGTTTCAGTCTCCAGATCTTTCTAAGATTTTACTTTTTATAAACAAATCAACAAATGTAGAAGACTGTCAGCCTTTAATGATACTTAATGTTGCATGTGATTGTAATTCCCATAGTACACAAAACCCCAATCAGCATGAATAACTTATACCACAACACAGCAAACAACTAAAACTGCAGGCACTGCAGAATCAGAAATCCAACAATTGAATCATTGCAATTCCAACCCTGGTGATGTGATTATCTATCTATACAGATAGCTCTTGATGTGCAATGAGAATAATCTTTCATTATACTAACTAACTTAACTTACATTTGGCTATGTGTTGGAAGGCAGAAAAAAATGCATGGGGTTATCACTTAGTGCAACAATAGTTTAAAAATGGAGGTGCAGGCAGTCACAAAAACTCTATAATTTTCATAAATGTTCATCATTACAAACAGAAATTGAGCGTCCAGGTCTAGTTGCATTAGTAATCATTTCTACACCACTTTTGAATCGTGAATATCACCAGAAAATATGTGCACCAGATAAACAATTATACAAATAAACTTGTCGCATCAATTCAACTGTCTCAGTGGTGTTTTTTCTGAGTTTTAAACATAATTTAATGTTAGCGTAACAATGTACATCTAACTAGATCAATAAAATGGCGGCTTGTTTCTCGTCTACTTTTTAGGCCATGATGCAAAGTTGCCAGATCATTGAAGAAAGTTGCCTTTTTGGATTCCATGCTTTGCTTCATAGATGACACCTTTGTTTTGGCAGTAATAAAATCAGTCTCATTACCTAATTGTCGGACCTTGTAGAATATTTAAAAGACAAAAATACTAAATTTGCAATGTCTTTAAGCACTAAATTATCTTTTTTATGACCACCAAAGTTTTTACAGCTTTAGAAGTTTAAATTTAGTGTAAAGTGTAGATTGATGAGAATTTAATGAAGAAAGTGACAAAATATACTCTTTTCTAGGCTGAAATTGTTACCGTCAGGCTTTGGGTCAGGCTAATCTAAAATGTGTAAATCTAAAAAAACTAAAGTATATTTCAGATCCAACATGCAAACAAGACAAGAGACCAAGCAAGACAATGTATCCAATTTTATAAGAAAGAGCAGCTGAACTACATCGGCCATGCACTCAAAATGGATAAGACAAGAACTCCGGATCAAGCCTTCCTATGGATACCTGAATGGAAAAGAAAATAGGGAAGACCAAGAGAGACTCTACATAGTACCATCATCAGGGAAGGCTCAACTATAGTCCTAACAAACATCCAAGACCTAAAGCAGGTGGCAACGAACCACCAGACATGGAGAGCTATGACAACTGCCCTGTATGCTACCCGAGGCCCAAGAGGATAAAAACTAAGTAACTAAATAATCTTAAATGTACTTCCTGTAAAGTATGGATATTCAACTGGTGGTCTGTGCGCCAGATCTGTTCCACTGAGGTCTAGCAAGTGACCCGCGGATCATTGCCAGTTGTACTGAATTAATGGTCTTTCTATGATAGGATTCGGGCCACCTGTAACGATCACTAGTTTCACAACTTTGGCCCCTAACTCTTTGAGTCCCAAGGAACGCGTCACGCGCTGATTTGTTACTACCTAGCGGCCCAAACAGCGCATGATGTGTGATGGTTTTTAATTTACCACTTATCGGTAATTACACGCGAACCGCTCAATTTAAACTTTCTTTCCGGTTCTCAAGTGTGTAGTGAACACACGTGGAGTGCATTCGTTTGGATCTGGTGAGTTTTTAACGCTTTAAATCGATATTTGTGTGGTCTACTACGTTACCAAACAATTGTCTAAAAACAATATGTCTGATCAGTCATCATCTTCACACCCATCAAAGCGATTTACTGCTTTAGAATCATTAAATTTGATAAAACAGTGGATCGATTAAAGTAATGTGGAGTTGGATAATGATAGTAGCGACGTGAAATTTCCCCAAACCGTTGACGAGTCAAGTTTTGATGAGGATGTGTGCGTAATTTACCTCCTGCTAAGAGGACAAAACTGACTAATTCTACCATGGCAACACAAGAGAAGCACCTCGTAATGCGAAACCAGCTAGTCCAAATGTCAGCGCTTCTAGTACTACTATCCATATCGTCTAAAACCATAGATTTATATCTATGAACAGGTTGACATGTTTACAGTGCCTTTACAGATTTTTCTATGTGAGGAATTGAATTGTTTTTAGAAAAGTCACTGTTTGTGCCACTGGAGAATATATTTTTACGTGTTATGGTAGTGTTATTCAAATTGCTATGGAACAACAACTATTGCACATTTTACTTAAATATTGGCTGTGCTTACTTATAAGTGGTGTACCATCCTTTGTGATGCATTTTGGGTATACTATATCAAGAATTTTGGGATCAGCTTCTGGGTAAGTGGAAAAAACTTGTTCATAATTTGCTCACCTCTCAAACTAAGTCACTGTTTTCTCTACTAAATGCTAACTAACAGTATAATTGTTTGTTGTAGCAGTAAGCTAACATTAATCCTTATCCATTTATGTTTAATTTTATGTATGATATGTGTATGTTGGACATCAGCTGCAGTTGTGTGGTTTGTTTTAAAGTGCTGAATTTGTTAAAAGTCAAAATCAAATTACCCCCCCTTGGGCCTGTGATGCAAAACCCCCTGGGACTCAAAGAGTTAAGTACACTTAGTTTAATAGCCCTGCTGTCATCATCAACATCAATTTCTACTTCTGACATTAAGTGATGTGGGGAGGAATAGTTTGCGATCCAAAGCTTGATGTGCAGCAATGGCTATTGTCATTCCACTGGTTCTTTATTTCCGAGTCCGCTAACATTCTAAGTACCGAACATTTCATGTTTGTTTTTGGCTGTAGCTGTTGTTCTTCACTTTTTCAATGTGTTATGTGTGTTTCCAGTCTTTACAGCGCTGACATAATCATGCTTTTCCTTTAATTTCCTCCAAAATTCTCAAGCAATATCAGTTGCTGTAAAGCATACCAAAGATGGCAGAGTTAATTGTCACTCAGAAAATAAATATTATACTGAAATGACATAACGATTTAATAATATATGATAGCAACATTTTAAATATAAAATGTACATAATCTATACTTACTTTGTAGATTTTGAATAGTTTGCTGGATGCCTACATCAGATGTCTTGCTAAATGCAAAACCTTCAGCACGAGGAGAAGAAGCTACACTGGCTTCATCAGTTGATGAGAAGGGAACACGCCTGTCTGACATGCTTTCTAAATATGTTTTCCACCATACAATTCTGATTATACAAATTCAAGTTTAATTGTGTTGATATATATTGGACACTTTTACAGGAAAATGTTAACTATAGATGTTATAGTGTATTATACAAAGCTTTTCTTTGAAATTAACAAATTTTACATTATTCTTTAAGTCACCATACCATGTTTATGTAAATATTCTGGGGTGAAAATATCAACTTAATCATTGTTACCATTTTGCATTGTACAGTTACAAAATATTATTATCTTGCATACCTTAGATTTAATGTTTAAGGCAAAGATTCACTGAAACTTTCTGAAAGAGTCTGTTTAACTGTTACCTTACTTACCATTCATGGCAAGTTTAAAAATATTATTTTTTACATTGCTAGTGTGATATGTTATTTCACTCACTTATAATTATCAAGGAACTCCGTCTGGTAAAACGCATAATTGAAATGCATAGCTTAACAACTTTAATAGTGCTATCTGTTAGCCTATTTTCTAAAATATGGTCAGTTTAGAACATTCCAGCATAACATTACATTATCACTATCAGATGTATTTATTTTTAAAGTAATGCTTGAATAAGCACATTGTAATTATATAGATTACAAGGTTTCCTTAGTTTTGTCAGGAGACGCGGAAGCTGCTGCTCGTGGGTCCTAGCCATCTAGTTTAGCCCCAATCCACGCCGCTCATGCGGCGTGGGGGACTCATGGCGGTGGCGGCAGTCGGTGGAAAACCGCAGAAGAACCGCAAATTAAGTCGCCGCAAGTGCGCAATTGACACGTGACTGTGGCTCGAAAGGATATTTTTGCGGCCGCCATCTTTACCGACTGTTATTTGGAGGATAGCCATAAGTTCTATCTCAATATACAAAATTTCCCTAAACTCCTAATAATTATAGTAATAGGCCTTATGGGCTCTCCTTTGAATCACCTCCCAAAATGGGGGCATTAATGTGATGGCGTTCAAAAGAGAGCTAAATTGGCCAATTTCATGTCATTAAATATCCAAAAATATCCGAATGCGGGTCAGTTCTATTAAAAATATATGTGCCGGCTCCGGATAACGCAACAAATGCTTTGACAGGGTCTCGGCGATATGTTACTTGCCGACCTGCTTCTGCGAATGTGCCTCACCACCGAGTGTATCCCCCGCGCAGGGGCGCGGATGGGGACTAAACTAGATGGCTGGGACTCACGAGCGGCAGCTACCACATCTCCTGCAACTTCCTCCAATTACTTTACTCGTGAGTCCCAGGCATGCCGCCATTTTGGGGGTTGATTCAAAGTAGAGCCTACTTATGGAATAATGCTATTATGTGAGTTTATTCGCAGAGGAATTAACCAGTGTCTATGTGCACGGTTGGCAAAGATATTCCACCAGAAAACAAGCTAAAATTCTAGTGCCCGTACAGTACTTAGTGCCAGGTACATTACAATATAATGATTACATACACTCACTGCGCTAAGCCCTTAGCAAAAAGTTGAACTTCAACTTGAACTTCAAAGCCTGGTGATAAATTATAATATTCTTTATTACATTCTAAAATGGTTAAATATAATTATTAAATAGGAAGAAGCAAAAACACCACGTGATAAATGTTTGGCGTATCTGACTATATTATAATCCTAAAAATAAGCAAATTATTGTTGAAACATCTGAGGCAGCTCCCAAAAGACTCGCGGGTCCAGGCCTGTTGCCGTAGACGCCAAAACAGCAACTGCCTGCACGCATGCGCATAACATAGCCATATATTAGGGAATCTAACAGGGTTGCTGTCTGCTAATAATGTGGGTTTTCTAAGACTTGCGCCCGGGGGATTTCTCATCCGAACAGTGGCAATTGGATTGGCTTTTTACCCCACCAGGACATCACACAAGCGATAAACACCCGATGACACAAAGTGCCACCATGCGGATGAGGATCACCGTGGAGAGGTCCCAGAAACCGCGTTCAGACATTTGGCCATAATGATGACCTGCCTATATTGCGGCCCTGGCAGAAGCCAGAGTGGGGCTTCAAATAACAAAAAATAACGTCCTAAGAAGGACGTAAGGTATTAACAGTGGCCATTTGCGTCACTAGGTGTTAATCGCTTGTTGTGCACTGGAGTTAATGGTTACTCACTCGAACATAGTGATATATTTACAAGTAAATATTTTTTTTTTTTTTTATCGGCTCAAATCTACAAAAATTACCTAACAAAAAAATACATTGTCAAACAAAACTACTTCAATAGTGAGTGTATCGACTCCTTCCCAACATATTTGCAATTTTTTTTGTTGGGGGGGGGGGGGTATAAATATAACCTAAAGATTGTTAGGGGTTTACGGGACTTGTGTCACCGGGTGTTGGTCACTGGTTGTGCGGTCCTGGCGGGGTTGAATGGCAGTCAGCCCCCAGCCAAGACTACTTGCAGACGTTTTATAGAGCCAGAAAGAAAAAGAAAAAAAAACTTGCAACGCGCAGTCAGACCGAAGATGCGTTTGTTTATTTGTTTAACAAGCTTAAGGCTGAGAGACAATCACATATGTGGTCCGTCCCCATCTTCAACAGCAAGCGAAGAGTTCCAGCTCCGATGGTGCTTGTAGCAGTCTTATAGTGTGTCCGCCCTACACTTCCTGAGTGTGGCGTGTCTTGACAACATCTAGCTTGTCATGCATCAGTTTACCACCACAATATGTGTATGCAGCGGGTTCTCAAGCCAACAAAAAGATCACAGTAGCTGCCTCTATCTCCATTCTCAAACTGTATGTTGTAATATCATATGCCATGCTTTGTTCGTCTATGTTCGTCCATTCGCTTTATTGTGAACCCCCATAACTTCTTCTGTCTTTCAACGCAGAGTCATCGGTATAGATAATCACATCATCTCGGCGGATGTTTGACACATATCAGTTGTTGAAATTCTTATTCTCCAGCGCCACCAGACCAGTCCATACACTCTACACAAGTCTGACTGCTAGGCCACTGTGACCCATTTATCTCCTCGCCAAATTTTGTCAACCATGCACACTAATTGTGTTTTCTGCTGGCGCCATACACGACCTTCCTCATTTAATCCAATGACCCTTGGCTTTATCTAGTGTAGTCGGATGGCCGATTCCGGTCATGATTCATGACGCCCGGGGACAGAAGCACCCACCCAGTGGAAACTGCATGCAAATGGGCATAGCAGCGTGGTTTTATGCGATCGAGCAACGGTAGGCTGATTGATTTTATGGCGGTAGTATGTCTATGGTTAGACATATATTTCCGTCGTAGTTAAATCTGATTTTGTCTCCAGTAGTTAAACTATGTGAATAGAGATATCAGTGTGTATCATCGCTCGGAGATATTTGATTCTGCAAGCGAATTTTCATCCTTGCTAGATGAGGTGCTTAGCATATGTGTGAACACGATGTTTGTTGCTAATATGCTGTTATTTGTGATGCATCGTTAGTTTTGTGTTCAGTGAAATAAATAGATGGTGAATGTTATAATTATAGTTCCAGCTGTTTGATTCAGATTAGGACTTGTGGTTGGTGTACCTAGTTTTACGGTTACTGAGGTCTAGACTATATTCAGAATATATCCTGTCGGGGTAAGACAATATGGTCTTAGCGCCCGCCAAACTAACTTTTTCTCTTTCTTTTTTTTTTTTTTTTTTGTTACCGAGGCAGCTCAAGTGTGGGTTTGCTTCAACTAGCCATGACATCTTTGGAGCTCTTGTAGGTTTGGAGTAGAGACAGATTCAAAGAGTAGATTTTCACATAATTTAACTGAAGCCGTTACACGCGCTTTAATTATAAATGAGGTCATTACGTGCGCCCTAATTATAATTGAAGCCGTTACGTTCTCTTTTATTAAAGGCGAAGCCGTTATGTACGCTTTAATTATAATTGATGTCATTACGTGCTTTTAAATTATAACTGAAGCTGTTACGTGCGCTTTAATTTTAACTGAAGCCGTTATGCGAGCTTTAATTATAAATGAAGCCGGTACGCGAACTTTAATTATAACTAGAGCCATTAGACACCCATTAATTATAACTGACGCCGTTACGTACGCTATAACTGAAGCAGTTAAGTGCGTTTTAATTCTAAATTAAGCCGTAACGTGCTCTTTAATTCCAAATGAAGCCGTTACGTGATCCTTAATTATAACTGAAACCGTTGTGTGCGCTTTAATTATAAGTGAAGCCGTTAGGTGTACTTTAATAATAACTGAAGCTGTTATGCGCGCTGTAATTATAACTGAAGCCTTTACACGCACATTAATTATAACTTAAGCCGTTATATTGCCCTTTAATTATAACTGAAACCTTTGCGTACTCTTAAATTTTAACTGAAGCCGTTACGTTCTCTTTAATTATAAGTGAAGCTGTTACGTGCGCTTTAATTATAACTGAAGCAGTTACGTGTACTTTAATTATAACTGAAGCCGTTGCGTGCTCTTTAATTATACATGAAGCCGTTACATGCTCTTTAATAATAACTGAAGCTGTTAAATCCGCTTTAATTATAAATGAGGCCATTTAGTGCTATTTGATTACAAAAAAAAAAGTTGTTTTGTGCGCTTTAATTAAAACTGAAGCCGTTACGTGCTCTTAAATTTTAACTGAAGCTATTATGTGCTCTTTAATTTTAAATGAAGCTGTTACGTGCGCCATAATTATAACTGAAGCCATTAAGAGTGCTTTAATTAAAACTGAAGCCCTTATCTGCGCATTAATTATAACAGAAGCCGTTACGTGCGCTTTAATTATAACTAAAAACGTGACGTGCTCCTTAATTATAAGTGCAGTCGTCACCTGTGCTTTAATTATAACTGAAGCCGTTACACGCTCGTTAATTGTATCTGAAACCGTTACGTGCGCATTAATTAAAACTGAAGTCGTTACGTGGGCTTTAATTCAAACTGAAGCCGTTGTGTGCACTTTAATTATAACTGAAGCCATTACGCTCGCTTTAATTATAACCGACGCTGTTACGTGCTCCTAAATTATAACTGAATTCG